CAGAAATACATCAAATTGACGCTCGGAGCTTCAAATGAAGAACGACGGGAAAAATTGTCTTAACTTTCGACAAGACCTGATGGAAATGAAATAAAGTTGCGATCATATGCTAAGCTTACACCTGTACAACATCTACTCACTTTGAGTAATGTTAATCTGCTCGACATCCGAGCGATCACAAGAATGCTGGTCAGCAATGGTGAGTTGGGCATGCCCACTCCAAAATCATATCACACAGAAAATATGAAACATGTAAATGAAACAATGGAAATACAGACTAAATGTCCCTAGGCTAAGCAAACCAGAAGTAAAACCACTGTTTTCAAGCCGTTGGATTCTCCATTCAGCATTTTTTTCGCACGGCCCGGCCCACAGATCCATCAATTGTCATCTCCGTCCTGAAAGGACTCGTAAAACCGCCAGAGTTCCAAAGAGAATCGACCACCTGCCCTGGGGCCAGGGCTGACGAGCAGTGGGCAGTAGCTACAAGTCCTGATGGGAGAAAACTGCCGTGACATCGCCCTGATTCCTGTGGTCATCGGTGAGATGATATGCGATTGAATCCTCAACTTCCAGCACGCTTCGTGATCAAACTGGGTACTGATCCGAGGATATCCGAGGTCCTACTCAAACATCCAATGGATCAATGGTTTCTCATTGTTTTTTAATGTCATACCCCATTTGGATCCAAGTCGGGCCCAAGCAAGATGGGTTAATGTATCCCAAGATGGGATTGGTTACTAGCAAGACAACCAACATCTGTGGTGTTCTTTCTCGCCTCATCGGGTTGGTTGAAGGGAAACAATGGCGCTTTCGAAAACTTACCTTCACCCAGGTCTTGCAGTCTGGAATCAACAATTACTGGGGAATACTGGGGATATTCCATGCAAAAGTCGGTATAAGTGAATAATACTAGTTTGTTCCATATGGTTAGTGCCGACCCACTCAAGTTGAGACTTCGCCCCATTTTTTTGCTGAGCCTGTTGAGCTCCATGTCCATCAAAGCTGACGTCCAGCTACTTGGTCCTCAGCATGGCGGCATGGCGGCATGGTCCCGGAGAGCTACCACAACACCCATAGAGATGTCTAGAAATGCGCTATAAATGTGGTTGGATATGGTTTGTTTTTTTTGGCACTTCTGGTGTTCCGCTTAAAACAAGAACAACACCACACCCATGATGTTTCCCAGAAATCCGGAAGAAGTTGATCTCTTTGAAGCCACCCTATGGTTTTCCAAATATCACCCAATAAAGAAGTATATTCCCATATATTCCCCCATCACTCTGTCCCAAGGGAAACCTGGGCTACCTGGCCCACACCAGTGGGACCGACAAGATGCTCCATGGCTGGTTCTGGATCGCGATCAAAGACAATGGCCGTGGATTCATTTAAGGTATCTATAAGGGCAAAGTTTAGAGGACAAAAGGAGTCCTGTATGCTTTCCATGAATCAATTTTGGGAGCATTGGCCAAGTTCCCAGAGCGAAACTATGATCTCCAGAACGCCAGAACGCTTGAAGTTTGGACTCCTTGGGCTGAGCATATCCCCGGCTCCTAAAAAAAACCAGCCAGCAGCAACCCAAGTAGAAGCGTCGGCCAAACTATCAAATGTTGCCTTGTCTTGCTGAATGTGCACCGTGTGGCCTCATGATCAACTTTTCCCAACTGTTCAAGGGCACATGTTTCATGAGGCTTGGATAGTTGGATAGAAGCCCAAAGCTGCAGCCAGGAATCAACACCAATCTGCAAATGGGTGACATCAGGGTATGCGTGACATCATTGAGTACCCCTCATGGGTGTGTTGTAAAGCAAAGAAAACATGACTAACATTTGTGGCGGTTCTAACTTGAGCCATTAATAATTTGTATTCACAGATCGGGGACAATTTCGTCCACCGTTTTAGGGGGTCTATTTCAGGATAATACAAATTGGGCTTTGGTATATGATTTGCTCTTTGCTCCCCAGACACAAATCACCAAACAGTCTGTCCAGGAGCACACCAGCACCAGCAAGCATCTTTTACATCCAAGACACTGAATACTGCAGAATAGAGATATTCAACTTTAAACATATTGAATATAATCCGGAAGTAAGCTGTTCCTTAGCTCTGACCCTTGTTATAGATCTTCATATGAGTGGTGGACGACAAAATTATACTGACTACCCGCAATGGCCAAAGTGGGTGGTCCCCTATCGGTTGTGAATGTTTTCGCACAAAGTTGAACATCCCATATACACTCCGCACTACTTTAGTCTTCCGCTAATTTTGTCGGTTACTCGTATGACAAGGGATTGGCTTCGGAATCACCTTTTTATGCGGCGGGCAACGCCGGAACAGCTGAGGGCAACGCCCTAAAAGGCGCCACGTGGCACCGTGTTGGCGCCATGTTGGCCGCATAGAGACACATTACGTGGATAGGGAGGTATAAGAAAGAAAAAACGACCATTGGGGACACAATGGGAATATCACCAACCATGATTTCGGTGATGATTGCTGCTACCGTTTCTTGTGGGTATATCAATAAATGTATATATATATATATATGTATATATATATACTGTATACATTACATAATTACATAGTATATGATGTGTAATACGTATTATGTACGTATGATTTTTTTTGGGAGGGGTATGATGCGGATATAATGGGTTGCACAAAAAACTATGTTTTGGATTTGTCTGACAATGCTTTGTTCGGACCATAGACTTGGCTAGTTTTCCAACATGGTATATCCAAAATCCCATGGTTGGTAAACATTGTTTTGCAAATGCATCTTGAATGTTCTTGATGCTAAATCTCTACCTTCAGACACCACCATGTTCCATCTATCAGTCCACGACACTAGCCATGTGGATGCTGTGGGCGTTAGAAAAACCTCAACACACCGAAATTATGCAAGATGGGCAAGTTCATCTGAAAGGTATTATTATGTATCATCTCAACAATTAGCATTGCCATTATCAAAATTTATTACTGTATGTATAAAATGTCCAACCCATCTGGTTGGTGGTTTTAATCATCTTGAAAAATATTAGTCAATGGGAAGGATTATCCCATATATTATGGAAAAAAATGTTCCAAACCACCAACCAGACATCGTACAGTAGTCACTGTTGACTGTTCAGGCAGGGTGAACCGAAGCGGTCGCGACTCAGCGCAGTGAAGGAGCGCTGGCGCTTTGTTGAAGACCTTGTGAAGGAGGCACCTGAAGCTGAAACCATGGGGAAATCAAGGCTTCGGATAAAGGCTATTTTGGGATGGTTATCCCCATACAGATGGATGGGGGTGGCATTGCCCAGGGAGAGCAGATTTAGCAGCTCATATCTTACCAAGAAGTGGATCAAATCAACCTCCATAAATTTGCCAGAACGCGTATGTATTATATATATATATGATTATGTAAGTATAGTGATTCAAGATGATTCAAGTATTCAGCTCCAGCATTTAGGTCTATATCAACATTTCGGTGTACAGATCCTTGGCTTGCTAAGGAAACACAGCAGAGCCCCTTTTACAAGAGGTGCTGCATCAATGTCATGGGTTCTAAGACACCACTTGCACCACTTGAACCCACGACCCGCGCATGAAAATCCACGCCTTCGCAATGATTATGATTGTTCTTTTTTTGAGCAAACAAACAAGATATACCCTCTGGTTATTCAACATAGCCATGGAAAATGGCCCATTTATAGATGGTTTACCTATGAAAAATTGTGATTTTCCATGGCTATGTTAAATAACCAGATGGAAATATATCAATTGAATCGATATTAATCTTGGTAATCCTTGGTGACCATCAGATAGACCTCGGCCTCCGGCCTTACGACACCACAAGACGTTGGTGGTGCCAAGGCGTTCCGGGTGGCTCTCGGATGGCGGGTCGCGCCTGCACCGAAAACGGAGGTCATTGGAATCATTGGATCTTGGGGAAGTGGGGATCACCGATGATTGGGATCATGTTCATTGCATATAAATTCAATTTCATATCATGTATATATATATACTGTATACTGTACATAATATTATTTAGTTGTACAATTGTCCATATGTCGACTATATATGTGTATTTATACAATATGTCTAACATACTGTAACTATATGCGCCTGAAAATGGGGTATAGTATACCCCAAAAAAATCATTTTGCTAGGGAACACTGTGGTAAACCATCATATTTTTTGGGCACCCTAGTCTCAGACAAACCCATATTGACTTGAAAAAACAAAGGGACGCCAGAAAAAAATAAAAATACTACCATGAAATAATATGAAATGTTAAGAAATAATCATCTGGTTGGTGGTTTCAACCCTTCTGAAAAATATGAAAGTCAGTTGGGATGATGACACTCCCAATATTAATGGACAGTCATAAAATTCATGTTCCAAACCACCAACCAGTCATGGACATGGGCATGATTACACCCATCAATAACATCAACCATGCAGTTTCCGCTGCACACCATCTACAAGTGAATGGGCACCTGACATGAGGACTACTGGTCTGGCCACGAACCTGCGAAGCTTGCGCGACAAGTCACTGGATTCAAAGAACAATCAATAGGAAACCCGCGTTTTACCATCCACAGCCTTGTATATCAAACATCAAACATCTAAATACGCAATTAGATGCCGGTTTTCGGCATTTTTGACCGCCAATTCTGACAGGGTGAATATATCATCCCAATCTCAGTGTTGCTTATAGCATTCCTGCTACAGCACTGGTGGTTCGCATCTAGAAATGGGTAAAAACATTCGGATCATGCCCGAACAGCGATAGTGTCCCCACCAGTGTAAGCAGTCCAGTTTTGGCATATCCTCAATGCTGTTGTCAGAGCTTATCCCATTCCATCCCGGAGCACAAAGACCCCAACATATAATCCCATCAACAAATACAACCAAAAAAAAACATGACACTACACATACCAGGTACTGTAAAACACCATGAATTTAATTACGCAACCCTCCACTCCTTCGCAAAAAAAATGAAACACACTTTTTTTCGCTCACTCAAGCAATTCACGCGCTAGCTTCCTGGCGTTTGGATCACCTGGGAGTGCGCTTTGGGCGGATTCCATCTGGCTTTTTGCGCGGAAAATGAAAGCGGCGGACGGCGGAAAGCTCCCATATATTTTCTGGTTGAGACAATTTGGTGGTAAAATAGTCTGTATATCAATGATTATCAATGTATGGTTGATAAGATCATTGTACGAATATCAATGTTTGATGGCTATATATATATATATACATAAATTGCAATGGGTAAAGTCCTAATTATTAAACAACCCACATGGCAGCAATCAGGTTTTGGAAAAGAAAACAAGGTCACATGTGCGGCCCTCACCCCTCTCTCACAACAAAACTGCTACACTCTGGGAGATATTCTTGCCACGAGCAAATGTAGAGGTAGACCAATTTTGCACAAGATTGTGCTAGACCGTCAGTATCGTCAGTAAAAAAAACTAACGTGTCAATCAATGGAAACCATTTCATAAATAACGCATATAGATATGCCGCATATGGGTTCGTGAAACAAATATGGAATGAAGTTCCATTGGTCAAACATCATCAAAGTCATCAAACTAGCGCCGAGGCTATGCCATAGCTATCAGACCCTGGTGATGTCCACAATCATCCTATGAGGACCCACCTGGGGAGCCAAGGATCTGAGATGGTGAAAAAGAGGAACATCCTGTCAGCACGTCGGGGGCAAAGCGTTTCTTAGCCACATTGACCCATGTTTTCTTTAGACATTGATAGTCATGTTGTCCCGAAACAGATGGTCATACCATCGCGTCGCTCCAGACCTTTCACAAATCAATCACTCAGGTCCCAAGCATTGAAAAATGAAGGGTCAATTGATTTTGAAACCTCTTAGGGCAACCCAAGTGGTGATCAGCAAACACAGGTTTCAAAATAACACACAAGAACAAGGAACAAGAACACGCAACTATCCCGAGGGTCTGTGTCAGTTCTCAAGTCGGGCATGTAAATATCCTAAACAAAGCAAATGGGCGACTGAAAATCGTGGATACCCAAATACGTTTTTTGAATGAGGAACATGATGTTCCAAAACCTGAGAATTTTGGGGTTCTCAAGAGAGACCAGAATGCCTCAAAATTGGGAACCCCTTAAAATCCACTTCTTGAGAACCTGATTTTGGTCGATTCCGCACTTCTAGTTTCTGAAAATTGAGGTACTTGCGGCCATCGGTTTCCCCCATGAAAGATGATTTTGGGGTCCACTTGGGTCGAAATCCCCGTTGGTTCTTGGGATCCACATCATATATTGCCCTGCAAAACATTGTTGGTTTTGTTAACATCTATATCTTTAAGCCCGGGCTGAAGCCACTGTTTGGATGAATCCCAATCTTTCCATGTGAAATCCACAGGGTTTCATCACTGCAACTTAAATAGCATTTTGATGGTGAATTCCCCATATATTTCACCATCAAAATGAAGTCCCCCAAATGGAATTTAAGATGAACTCGTTCATTTTTTTTGGGGGTGACTTCGGAGTTCATGTTTCATCACTTTTCAATATGAACTCCCCCAAATCTCCAGCTCCATTTCCCCGCCTGCGCAGTTCGCAGCACTGCCGACCAAGAGGAGCCGGAGCGGTTGGAGAAGGACTCAGCCAAGGTGCGCACCAGGCCCAACCTGGTTGTGATGCTTGTGATGCTTGATGGTTGGGTGATGATTCGTTTGATTTCGTTTGGGGATTATACTACCTGTTATCACATAATATATATATATATACTACATCATTCATAGTAATAATGATAACAATGATGATCATATAATGATGGTAATTAATAATAATAATAATAACAAAGTAATATATATATATATATACATATGAATATATTGGAGATTATCATAGTCCTGGGAATCATGCTCTTGACCAACCAGTGGACTGTGGAATGACAGAGGTGCCCAACACTCAGCCAGGCTCAAGCTGGCCAGCTTGCGATGGTGGACCATGCAGCATTATGCAGCCCTTCCCTACTACCAAGTTGCTGATCAAGCCCCAGTTCTTGCACTGGCTGCCTGATCCCGTGGCCCGATGAATAATGGGTAGGAACACTGGTCTCACCAATAAACACTATGTCATGGACATATTTTTTTGGTTGGTAAACCACTGAATCACTATCAAAGTATTGTCCCGTTTTTGACACCATCCGGGTGGGTTTGGTGAATGCTGGATGGATCTGGATGGTCTCTAAAGTAGCTTACTCACCATGCAGAAAGGTGAGCTCGAAAAACTTCCCAGACTCCGTGAGTGATGTGAGTGAGGGACACCCCATGGCCAACATGGATTTCCCAATGGCTTTCCCCCACCGCTGTGGCTGTTGTGCCAGGTCACCTTTCGAGTTCGAAGCAAGTGAGTGGAAAGTCCTGAAACACAATGATGACAAAGGCGTAAATCGGAAAACATACTAATAATATAATATGTATATATATATAGTATGTATATAATATGTTCGATAATTATTGTATTTAAGTTGCAGATATTCACTCATAGTGAAAATGAACACATCGTACTGTGATCTGCAACTGAAACCAAAAAAACAAGGAATTCATAGAGTGTTTCTGTCACTGAAAACCACTGATTTCATGATGACCTGATCCACAGCTTGGGCCCTGGTACACAGCTTCGATTCATGAGATGAGATAGAGACATCCTCAATCGTTAAAGGAGTATGGGCCATGGGTCAAAACTATATAAGTACCCCAATGATATAATCATTGGGAGGTTAATACAGATTGATACGAACAATATGAAACACTAGACTTAATGAAACACTAGACTTAAATCATCTTAAATCTGCGATTCTCCAGGTCTTTGATGTTGACCCACACCCACTATCTGCAAGCAGAAGCACATATACAGGTATATGGCTCAAATAACAAATAGCAGCTGTACCCATCAAACAGTTAATTTGGTCAGGTTTGATATCAAAATCATGAACTGCTGGAGGTTCAGAAACTGGAGCCGTGACAGAAAATAAAAAAACAATATACCCTCTGGTAAACAAACATAGCTATTGAAAATGACCATTTATAGTGGATTTACCCATTAAACATATTCTCCATAGCAAATTGTTAGTTTACCAGAGGGTATCTCCAAATCATGCCAAATCTATCGACCAATCATGCAATCCATCAAGACGTCGGCAGTGCGGTGACAGGAAAAAACTCACCACGTCCTCTGGTTTCTGCCCACAACCTGAAGACCTCGGGGAAAACATGCAGGGGACGGAGGGGGTCTACCTTGGCTCTTGGTTTTCTGCTGAACATTTGTGACTTTTAGTAGGAATAGCTAGAGGAAAATCATGTGGTAAACCCAATGCCATAAACATGAATAAACCATCCCAAAAATCACCATATGTATCCATCCCAAAGATCACCATATGGTCATATGGTTGGTATAAACATGTATAAACCATCCGCAAAGGTAGTTGTATCATTGGGTTCCCAACATGATGGTGTTTACCATTGTCTACCCATCAGCAATCACCTTTAAAGGCAAATAAACTGATATCAAACATCCCGTAAAAAAAACACAGAGATATTTAATCATATATTTACCACATATTTACAATACTCGGATTTGTCTGCAAATAACCCCGCATTGTCTGACGGGGAATGGAACCCCAAAAAAGGGCAACTGTAATAGGGGACACTTCGGATAAATCATATGTACAGGATTTGGGGGTACCCTGTTTTCAAACAAATACATGTGCGATAGCAAAACAACCTTAGGTCAAGTCTGCCGGCGTCATGCATGAACTCTACATTGTGTATATTAGTTTAGAATATGACTGATGCTGGACAGAGATGCATAGAACTCACACGCCAAAAAAACATGTTCATCAACCCATTCATCATGGCATGGACTTAGACTGCTGAGTGAAATCAACAATATGTGGGTCAGTATTTTATCATGTTTTATGTATCCAAAATGGACGACCAATATGATATCCACCTTGATTGCCAAGGTTTAACTTCTACATGTCAACATGACACGGAATTCTCATTCCAGCTGTAGCTAGAACTCGAGAAATTTCCTCATGCGAAATACATTGAAATAGTATACCTACAGTGTCATACTTAGGGGGTCATAGAACCAAACCCATGCAGCATCTGGAAGCATCTGGAATATGTATCTACCACCCATGGATGGTACTCTAAGAATGGGGTCCGGGGCATATCCAGCCCGAGTCACCCATAGGCAGGCACTTGCGGATTCATGACAGCGACCAGGTTTGGGTATGCAATGTCCTCGAGCCGTTCCGGTTAAGGCAAGCGGTGACTACTGTAGTTCACACTCCGGCCAATTTGCCTTGGAGATTTCACAAACAAAACTAGATGTAAACTCTGCGAGAGGCTTTCACCCACTATTGCAACACTGTGAAATCCATGACAACAACATAGCAAAACAATGGATTTTGGCACCCTGGAGCACCTGGCACTGGATATGCCCCAATTTTATCCAGTTTCTATCCTCCGCAGGATAGCCTCAGGCCTGCCTTTCACTCGTTGAACCTCCACCTCCACCTTACCCCGACCTACCCCTGCGTCCTGGGAACATGCCAATGGCCATTCAAAGCGATCCTGCATAAAGGTTGGGCAGCCGCTGGCCTCATGACCTGCGAAGATGCGATTCCCATGCTGGCTCCGGGTGGTTTTAGGCGACCAAGTGTGGGGCTGAATTTTGAACATAGGGATTTTATTTTGAACATCGACGAGAATAAATCAGAGTATACACAATTAAAGAACCATACTTTCTGGTATACACTGAATAGATCTGAATAGTACATAATCCCAACAATCATTGAGGTAACCCACACAATCACATGTATCTCTATGTTTCACCTAGGCAATTGGTAGCATCCATCCCACGAAAGATGGCCATCATGCGCAGCACGGCGTTCGTTGACAAATGTCCCAACTAATATCAAATAATAATGGATATTGCCGTTCAACTTTTCGACACCAAATATCAACTATTCTTGTTTACAAATTGTGTGATATTGATTACTACATAAGATTGACTATTCTTCCCAACTAATCTGAACTATTGTTTAGACTATATCAACCAAACTTGGATGGTGATCGATCGCCTGACGGCGCAGTTTCGCCCAGCCGCGGCCATTGACGTTTCCTCCGTGGAGTGAGTGAAAAGCTGTGGTTTTATGCTGGGGGGATGTTGACAAGTCTGAGAACATGTATAATATCATAATTTTATGGGAGAAGTAAGGATTCTAATGATTAAGTATATTGGTTCAAGGCCTTCAACCTGAAATTCCGGACATCTTAATACTCGTCGGGGAAAAAAAATCTTTGGGATGATTCACCCTGAAAACTCGGGCCATTTTTATTGCACGTTGTTCCACTTCCACTGACTGCACCCCGCAGTCGTGAGCCGGTGCCTGTTACCCATCGATGGCCATGTGGGGAGGATTTCCCCTGCTAACCATCATCGATTCCATCGATCCAGTCAAATGGGGTCGGTATCATTTCTCCCGGAAATGGGTGTCAAAAACCTGTAATACCAATCCTGGGTTTTATTCGCCTCTGGGCTTTTGATCCAGGGGAGGTATCAATTTAGCAGAAAATTGTCACTACTTGGGGGAAACTCCCCTATTAATCACCCAGAGGTTACTAATCCGGGGTTGACCCTGCCCAAACAGGGGATGGTGGTGTATCAAACAACATAGGCGCCTGACACTGTCCCCACCCCTCTCTGTCCAAGCAGCATCTCACTTACCATCATGCGGTTGAAAAGGAACGCATTACCTGAGTCATTCAAATCCGCAACCTGCGGTTCAATGTGACACGAGATCGACTAGCACAAGATATTGCCTGATATCACTTGACCCTACTATGACCCAATTCTAAAGTCTCAGTAGCGTCGCGTAGCGCCTAACACTTTTAGCCCCAGGTTGGTACGTGACCATCGGGGGGATGCATCGTGCCTATGATGAAAGTCAAGCTTTATCGCCTTGAACAAACTTGCACATTTACTTGCACTATATAATCCAACAGGAAGACCATGTTCCAAGGGATGGGTATGGGGGAACCAGTAAGTGATCCACGGATGCCGGTGGTTGGTGGTTTCAACCTACAAATACGGTAGTTCACCGTTCCAATGATCCTTTTTGGGGATTGGAAATATGTTGCTATAGTATTGATATGTGTATATTATAATATGTATATATATATTATATACTGTATATATCATATATCATAATTATACAAAAATATGATAAGTATTGAACTGTCACAGGTCAACAGGTCATTCAACACAACACAAACGTGGAAACATTTGGTGTCCCTGCCAAACATCAGCATCAAAGGCCCTTTAGCTGCTTGCCTCTGCTCTGGATGCCCCTGGGATCGATCTGAAACACCGAAGAAGACCGTTCCACTGTTGTTTGAAGCCCTTCCGATACAAAGACCTGGGTGAAATTCCTATCAGAAGGTTACCTATGGTTACCTAAAACATGTTGGTTACCTATGGTTACCTATGGCTACCTATAGTTACCTATGGTTACCTATGTTGCCTACAAGTATGGGTGAAATTCATTGAAATTCCAAAACATGTTAGTTACCTATGGTTACCCATGATCACCCACACGGGTACCCACTCGCAGCCTGCCTGCTGTAGCAGCAACATATAGCTGGCGATGCTCCGACGTAGCTTTTGGGTCAACAGGAAGTGATCAAACTCCACATTCACGAGCCAGTCCTGTTGTAATGGCTCAGTCACCTCAGCCCTGCTAAGAAAAAAATCATTGATTTCGGAAGAAATCGCCTTTATACACTTTGGATACCCAAAGATACGGGGGTCAAACACATAGGACTTCATTTCGGTAAGATCATTCTGCTAAATTTCCTCTGAAACCTCCATGGGATTGACTATCAAGGGAGAACCATCTTGACCACCGCAATTATCACAGGAGAAATCAACCCTGTCAACAATACCCAGATTATCCATGGAATGTTTACATACATCTACCCAAAGAATCAGCAAGTCATGTAGGTATACCATATCAGTACATGGATAGCACGGGATGTAGAAATACATCTGGGGGATTTTCACAGGCTCAGGTGTTGTCATCTTTTGGCCATCGTCCAGGCCCTACGCCCCAGAATCCAAGGGTCGTAGTTGGCAGAGACATCTTCCTGCAGCCTCAAGATGCAGCAGAAATTCACCAAGTACTCTTCGGTAATCAAACATGGCTCATGGAAATTCTCCATCAGTCTGCCCCCTCCAGTAGATTAGTGTCCCACTAACCATCTAAAGCTCTATTCATATGGCATGTGCAAAATTGCCCTGTTTGGGGTATCCGACTGACTTCCTGTATCTTCCATAATAACAATGGTGGATGAGCTCAATAGCCCCTAGGCCCATGGAGGTCTGCAGCTATCGCAGAAAAGACATTGTTTTTACCCTGACTGAAGGCTTTTCTCTGTGTGAAACAGGATGAATTGCAAGAGTTTCAGGCTGTTTCAGGTCCAGTATGCAAACCCTACAGTAGATGGTGGTTTCAACCCACCAAAAAGATTCAATAAGCATAGCAACTGGGTACCATTTTCCCATGTGTGAATGTAAAATACAAGCGTCGACCAGCTTCCAGGGGCACTGATCAAATGGTTCAACCCATACCATACCATCTCCGTGTGTGGAATACAATTGCTTGCATGAATGGGAGATTGCTTGTATGCCTTTATATAATTTATATATGATATATAATATACTGCAACTATATGTGTGTATATATATATAGAAATCACAATATGTTCGAGCAAAAATATCTTATCCACGCCCAGGAATATAAGATGTAATTGATGGAGAAACATGCAAAAAAATATCATGGTCAAAACAATATTCCAAACATGTCCCATTATTTGTTCATTAAAGATCTCCCGGTATCATTACAAAAACCCAATGATCTCCCTGTCCCATCATGGCACATCAGCTTATCCCAGTGGCAAATGGCTCCACGAGGGCATCAAGCCAGCCATGTTCCTCCACGGCGGGGGGAAAATCATGGGGATCGAGATGACCAAGGGGCGATATGATGATGGCTGACTGGCTGATGGGATGTATCTACCATTTCGGTTGCCATTTCGGTAGGAATAAGATGAATAACATGACAAAGATGACAAAGAACCAATAAAGAAATGGATTTAAGGTTTCCTTATTTTCCTGTGGCCATGGGTTCCATGCAAAACCCTGGTGAACACGGATCCATTCCCAGGTGGAAACGGGGAGAACCCAAGCATCTCTACGACTCTACGTGTAATGTCCGCAACAAATGAAAACCAATGAAACACCTCAAAATGGCGAATTGAGAAAAACTTTACCAAACTTTACCAGACTTCAAAACAACCAAAGAATTGCCGGTCTGCAGGGAAACTGACTCTGCCTTGTGGCGCCAACCCAAGATTTGATGGTATGCTAAAGTTTTATGGTGGCACCAAGCACTCTTTTGCTGATGGTTTCCACATGTGTCATGCAAACACCAAAATTGTTTTGCAAGCTTGATCTTGGGGTCCACTCTGTCTGTGTTGGTCTTGGCATCATTTGCAAGACCCTTAAGTTGTACACGTGTGGGAAAAAACTTGGGGTGGTGTCTTCCTGTGAAGTTTTTTTTTGCCAATCTTCAGAACACGGAGTTTTCCCAATAGAAAACCTATGTAAACCACCCCTTGTTGTAGGTGTTAAAACTCTGACTCTGGCCATGGCCATGATGTCAGTCCTATGATAGAGCCACTTCTCATCCTGGCAGGCCCAGGGTCACGGGAAGTGATGGAACGAGTGACACAGCTTGCGGAAAACAAGAAACCAATCACCAAAAAGCAATCCCCTTCAGCTTATATAAATCCGTTTGGTAATGTATGATCCACCCAATTTCATAATATATATATACATATGTAATTATGTTATTTTTCCATATTTTTGGGTCAAAATCCCAAGACAACGTTTTTTTTCGTTTATGGCATTGGCCGTAAGCCGCAGCCACTCTTCGCCTCGCGGCCTTTGTGTTGCTGCGATACATGAACCGCCACAACATCGGCCTCCTGATCGATCCCGAAAACAAATGTTGGACATGGATGATACCAATATGATATATATAGGGACATATATGGAAAATATATGGGGATATCATTGTTCCCCAAGAAAACCATGGAAAATATATGGGGATATGATAGTTTCAAGACATGACGTCAGACTTGATTTATCTTCATACTGCACCAACGAACCCAGCTTGCAGCAGGACCTCGCTATCTGTTTCTTAATAGCCCATATTCTGACTATGTATACATAAAAAGGTAGGTCCTGGCGGGTGAGCAGCTCAGGTGAGCATATACATGTATTATATATATATATATATGTATACATATTAGCATGTTTGAGCATGTTTGAATCACTTCAGTGTCCTGATAGGTCGTCGGGATCCTGAAACTCCCAGCATCCCAGCATTGCCCACCAGTCCTGCCCAGCAAAGGGCTGTCGATCGCTGAAGATGCGATAGCTGTCGCACTGCTTGAAGGCATGCCTGGTTGTTCTGCACTGCTTCGACCGAAGGCACCCAAACCTGACTGACTTAATGTGATGTTTGGTCATCTTAATCGTTGATGTTTCCCAAACTGTACCTATCATTTCCTCGGTCAGGCGGGTTAAACGGGTTAAACATGTTTGTGGCCACTATCACTATCAACTGCGCCTCACTTCCTGCAGCAGTGCCACATCTTGCGGCCTTGGGACACGAGATTTTCGCCCTGAGGATAAAACCATGGCCAATCTTACAGATACTCTGCATGGTTCTTTAATATTTTCAGGTGGTTGGTTCGGTTTTACAACATATAGTAATAACATGTAATAACTTGATAGTACATCTATTGATGGCAAACTACCAAAAGTACTAAACTTAAGTCTTCATCGGAACACACCTCAAAGCAAACTCGGCCTTTATGACATCAGAGTTTGGGATCCGTGATGGTGAAGCAAAGAACTATATCTGCTTGCAGTCATTTGAGTCCGGGTGAAAAAGTATTGAAAAAAAACAGAGAACCACAAATGTTGGCCAAATCTAACATGGCACAACTGGTCAAAACATGCCAAAACATGGTACACGGGTTGTGGACGTCCCAGATTGAGAATATTGGCCATTGTGTTTCCCTATATTTATGGTCGTAGACCACCCTTGAACATCACGTCGTCCAACGGTTGACGGACTATTTCACCATGAGCCCTGCTACTGAAATGAACACTGAAGTTGGGACAACGAATTCGTCAATCGATGTCACCCGCTTTTACTGTTGTCAGTATACGGGTGCTATGAACGAAATACAGTTAAAGAATGTTAAATAAACATCGATAAACTGCTGGTTCCATTCCCTTCTCACACCCTACTCACTCTTCATTGGACGAACATCACGACCAATTCGCTTTCAGGCGCCAGATTCTCAGGACGCCGCTTCCATGTTGTCCAGGCGAAGCAAAAGATTTTGAGACCTGAACGAGGACAGGGAAGCACCGACCCAAGGAGTCTGCGAGATTTCAATATATTGGATTCCAGTTCAAAGGATGATTCCGGTTGAAAGGATCATTCTGGTTGAAATGATGATTCCAGCGAGTCTGCTCGCTGCTAGCCAATAGGATGATTCCAAGGGGATGTGGTCCAGATTGGTTCATTAGTAGCTACTCCATTGTCGTAAGTCGATCGATTTTACAGTATGACTCAATACTCTGGAACATCGCCAAACTTAGATACCCTGCAAAGGAAGCGTCCTTGTTTTCTTGCAGGATGGAAAAAAACAACAACTATGAAACCATTTACCGGTTGACCTAAAAAACCAGGGTTTGTGTTGAGAATGCGGTGGTAAAAAAACATGGTATAGGAGGTACCAGTATGGTCATTCATTTATGAAATTCCCAGAAAAGGAATCCTTGCAATGGCTATATGAAACCGTATTCATGTATTGATACCATCCCCCAATACGGGTATATAATTCAATGTTTGAACCCTATCTATATATATATGTACACTATATATATATGTACATTATATACATATATTTATCTGTACATATTGTATATATATATACACATATGTATTATATACACCTGTGTATATATATATATATTATATATAATGTGCACCATTCCATTCTATGGTTTAAACACCTCATCACCCCCATAACAGCAATTTCTATGGGGCTTATCCCCTCAGACCCAGCTCCAACGACGGTATTCAACCCCGAAAAGAAAGCCAGAGTTGGCCTCCACTTTTCAAGGTGATGTGCTCTGGATCTAGGCGAAGATTCATCCTGCACGCTCCAGTGAAGCGAAAAAAAGGGCTCAGCTTGGGTAAATTGGAGGTCCAAAAGACTGAATGGGTCAACAATTTTACATTGCTAATTAAGTAGTAGTATATAGTGTATATATATAGAATAGAGTTATAGAGTTACAATATTTTATAGTTAAAGTACATATATATATAATTAAATATATGTGATGGTTTGCCAAAATGTATTTTCCTGCTTTGGTTGATAAATGGTTTTAAAAAAAACTAGTGCAAACCTAGCGGGTTTGCTAGCGCTGCCTTGCAGGATTGGTGAATTTAGTTGCGTGCCGCCTCATAACGAAGAGGAAAAACCACTAGGTCCACACTAATTATCAACAACTAGTACAAAACTTCTGTCAACTATGTTTGGCAAATGGTCATGTACACTATGTACATATGTAAATGTTGATGTGTTCATGTTTCACAAAATTGTCCCAAAACTCCGAAATATATATATATATAATTTTGTCCAATGTTCACATCCAAGTTGAAAACAACAACTCTGCACCAAGTTCCAAACCGATCAATCCTCCAAAATGGCATGTCTGACAAATGCTGGAAAAGCGAACCTGCAAAGCTGCAACCCTATTTATATATGCAATTAATTATATATGTGTATGTATGTATATATATATATGTTTCACCAGAAACTAAAATAAATCAACACTGGTCAGTCCTCAAACTATGACCTCAGTACTTGGCTGCGTTGTTTTTGCAGCTGCCACAGTCGAACTGTAGCTTCTCAATGCATGCCATGCTAATACTGGTCAAGATCGAAACAAAATGACCTACCCTCCAGTAAACGACACCAGATATGTAAATTCCATG